TGGCTTACGAACAATTCTCCTGGAGTGCAATTCATTCTTAATGTGGTGAGTCACGATATTTGGACATTAAACCATGCAACATCTAAATAAGCAATAAGTTGAATAATAAATTGTAGAGACATTAGAAAATATTTGGTACTGAAAGAAAATGAAAACATAACACGTTAAATTTGTGTTATGCTGCCTGTTTTGGCTGGATCTTAAATGTTCCCTTGAAGCTCACCTTTCCATTTAGTTTCCAGCCTAGGTAACTGGATCACGAGGACTCTGATCTCATGAATAGATTAATCCATTTATGGGTTCAATGGGCTATTGGGAGGTGATGGAAATTTCAGGAGGTGGGGCCCAGTTGGAGGAAGTAGACCATGGGTGGTGCGCTTTTGAAGGGTGGATTTTGTTCCTGCCTTTCCTCTCCATTCTCTTCTCTCTGCCCTCTTCACTTCCCTTCCTTGCTGCCATGAGCTGAACAGTTTTGTTTTGTTTTGCTTTGCTCACCAAGTCCTTCCACATGAAGCTTTGTCAATAGGCCTAAAGATAACAACTGGGATATGTGACTATGGACTGAATCCAGAAACTAAATCTTTTCTCTTTTAAGTGGATTTTCTCAGGTGCTTTAACACAGTGATACAAAATGAATACATTTAGTGGCTGGGGATTTAGCTCAACGGTTCCATTGCCTGCCTTGCAAGCACAAGGACCTGAATTCGATCCCCAGTACCAAAACAAACAAACAAACAAAAAACCATAAAAAAAAACCCACCTGGGAATTTAGCTCAGTGGTTCTGCTGCCTGCCTTGCAAGCGCAAGGACCAGAGTTCGATCCCTGTTACAAAAAAACAAAACAAAACAAAACAAAAAACCCCAATACAGTTAAAACAGTGATTAGAGAGAAATTTATAGCTTTATCCACTTAATCCACACCTAAGTAGCAGAAGAAGCCCATGTTCTTTGCCATGGAGCTACATACACATGAGGACTTTGGGAAGCTAAAAGATCCAGGGTGAGCTAGTTGCTGCTTATATTAGAAAATATATATGTTTAAAGTGAGGCATATAGTGCATCAAAACCCAAGGAGACCTAGTCAGGATCATGGTCCTCTCTTAGTGAGTGGAGGGGGTCAGTCACTTTCTTTGCACTTGAGGAGGGCTATCATGACGTGCCTCAGGTAACTAGAAATTTCTCTGAAGAGAAAGGTATCTGAGTTGCTGTGGCTTTTCTCCCCACCTCTGACATACATCTTCTCAATCATCAGATCCAGTCAACTGAATGCCACTAAAATAATGACCTAGAATGATGGACTGTTGAGTGGAAAAGCAGTCAAGACTCCCAGAGACTAAATTATGACATAGGTTAGAATGTTGATTAAGTTCTGAGGTAAGTGAAGGTGAATTGCTGCCCCTGCCCACCGAAAGCAAACTATTTCTCAGGGTCTTCACTAATAAATGAAGACAGAGAAAGCGCTCATCATATCGGTAGCTGGATACCAGCAATGACAATATTTCTGAAACCTAAGCGGCAACTGGAGTTACCCCTGATGAAGTTTATGATAAACTCACTGGCTTTCTTCAAGATCCATCTGTCTTCTACATGGGTCAGACATGTGAACTGAGTAGAGATGTCAGAGTCTTTCATGTGCTTTATAGTGGCACTGATCTCTGTGATCCCTCCAAGAATGACAGCTTGCTTTTTCCAATTTTACTAGATAGAGGTCTTAGAGGCTTCTGCTGAGCATTTCCTACCTCACGGCCTTCCTTCCACTCTTCATGGAATCAGTGTAGGGACTCTGTCAGTACCTAGTGTGCCTATTTGCATTATGCATTCTGGAATTAGAGAAAAGACTACAGGATTCAGGGACCCACAGAGTCTGTGTGAAATGAATGTGAGTCAGATTCCACTATTAATTTCCTCCATCAGCCTGTGTTCTGACTGATAGACATTATAGCTCTCTAGAAATTAGTGTCAGTTTGGATCCAGAGACTGGTAATTCTAAATAGTTTGATTATTTCCCCCCTTAATGTACAACCTGCCAAATAACCTTAAGATTCTTGGGAAAATTGGAGGAAGCTTGCAGTATAAACTCTGTGTATCATTCCTTCCTCAAGTGGATATGGCTTTGCCTTAATTCAATGAATTCTGAATGTGTTAACCAGCTCAAATCTGGGAATTGGTTGAGAGTGAGACTTCAGTTGGCTGCCTGTGGATTTCAGGTTAGGTATTCCCATCATCTGCTAGTTAGGGCCAAAAATCTGAGGACAGATTTTAATTACCATATTAGTTCTGCTGACCAAGATGGCAACTAGTCCTTTGTCATCTGGCAGTTAAGTGCCACCAACTGGCCCCTGTAATCATGATATTCTATCATTCCCAATGAATTCAGGGAGCTCAGATGAACAAGGGGCAGGATTTCCCTCTACCATTGCTATCATAGAGACAACAGCATAGTGTTTCAAGGATTATGGTCTCCCTCATAAATGAGCTTCACACAGTGAAAGGATGTTTTTTGAACCCTTGTGAGTCAAAGTCAGAGGGTGGCAGGCAAATTTGAGATAATAAATCCACTCTAGCATTTCAACCTCTCGAATCCTAGAATAACACTCACCAAGGTATACCAAGGAAGCTCTGGCATTTCAACTGAAAAATTACTCCTATCCCTTGGAACTGGCACACTGAATTTAGAATCTCTGTGCAGTAAACTCAATGAAAACTTGGTGATGTTATTGTCCTTGAACCCTGATCTACTGCCCCTTTGATTCATTTCCATATGTGTTCTTCAGATTTCTGCCTGGGTAAATTAGCAAAAGCCTGCTAATTCTTTTAGCAGATGTTATGCTTACTTATTCCTCAAATGTTTTTGTCACTGGTAGATCTCATCTGGTTATAGATCTAGAAGCAGTGAGAAACAGTAGGGGTAGGCTCTCCTACCTCATAAGGACAGTATAGGTTCTTTAGATAAGACAAACCATCTCAGTAAGCACAGGGTGAATTCTTACTGTTGCAAAGAAAGCTTGGCAGAATTTAGAGGTATAGAGTCTCCAGTTTTGTTGAAATCTACCCATCTGCTCTGATTGCATTTTCAGTTCACTCCCTTTCAATTAATGTCTTAACTTTGCCATAAGAGACTATGCAAGACAAAGTGTATCATCTGCATTGTTTTTAGTCACCTGTAATATTATACTTTATGTTTAGTTTTCAGATATTTCATATATGGCTATATGAAATAAGAATTTTTTAAATGGTAGTTGTATCAGATTTATGATCACTGGCCTAAGCTTTGAGCTGGATAAAACCCTAAGCATATCATTTTTTCCCTTAAATTCTCCCATGCACTTGGAAGTAACCATATAACACACTTCATTATAACCTTTATTCTTTTTTTTTTTTTTTTTTTTTTTTTTTTTTGGGACTGGGGATTGAACTTGGGTCCTTGCGCTTGCAAGGCAGGCCACTGAACCGCTGAGCTAAATCCCCAGCCCATAACCTTTATTCTTAGTAGACTTTTCTTTCTTTTTCTTTTTTTACTAGACATTTCTATAGCCACAACTACTTGGTCACTCCAAGCCTTGAGTTTTTTTGGTGTCTACAAGTGCTAATTTTAGTAACTGCTTTGCCACGGCATTATCAGACTACAAATGTTGCCCTTATTACCAGCAACAGTGACATTAATGCCTTAAATCTAATCAGAGTGGGACTAGTTATGGCAGCAAAGAGGGAGTTGGCCTACTGGAGTCCACATCTCTCATTGCTTGCTGTGGTTTGGGTCGTAAGTGTCTTCCAAAGGTCCATGTGTTAAAGGTTTTCCCTCCAGGGTGGTGCTACTGGGAGGTGGTGAAGATTTTAAGGGGTGGGGTCTGGTAGGAACTGTTAGGTCATCATAGGGTGTGTTCGTGGGGGGATGGCGTGATCCGTCTCCCTTATCTCTTTCTTTTGCTTTCTGGACACAAAGTGGGTGGTTTTGTTCTGTCAGATAGTCTCACTGTGTATGCTTCTTTGCCAGAGCAAAATAAACATGGGTTCTTCGTGGGGAAATACATCATGAATGTTGAATCAAAAGAAAATATTTTCAAGGAATATATACAAAATTTGAAATGAGCTGGGGGTATGAGCATGTGTAAGGGCCCAGATTAAACCCCCAGCTCCACAAAAACAAAACAAAAAACAAAAACAACAGCAACAAAAACCAACAACTCCAACACCCCTTCAACATTAAAAAGGCTCTTCTGCAACAAAGTACTGAAGTGAAGCAACAGAATAAAATATTACAAAATAAGTAAATGAAGAAAATACTTGCTTTTTAATATATTTAGCAAGTACTTGGATAGCACACACACACACACACACACACACACACACACACTGTATGGTTTATACTCAGATCTAGATGATACATTTTTCAAGGATGGAATATTGGAGAAAATATAAGCACACCAACATATGGCATTGGCTTGGGGGAAAACATAACATCCTATGGCAAATATATCAATACAAAAATCTTTTACAACTAGTAAAAAAAAAATGCAGAAAACTTGTAAGAAAAATGCAAGAGCCAAATTTTGAAAGACAGTACAGGAAGGGAATCATAAAGTCACACTGCTAACAGGCTTGACGGGTCACTCTTGGGCCTGGGGCACTGAAAGGAACTTTGGCCTTCAACAGTACAGTTTAATGTGTCCTAGATCCAGTGCCTGTTGTCTCGGAATTGAAATTCTGAGCTGGACCTTGCCTGGAGTGAGAGATCAAACTGACAGCTCTTTCCTAGTCCTTCCTAGTTCTGGACCAGAGAACCCTGATATTTTTATTTTCTAAACCAGACTTCTTCACTTAGGTTCAGTATAGGACCGCGCGAGTGAATCTTGTGAGGAGGGCACAGCTAAGTTTGGCACAGTTAAACTTTCTGAAGTTTGGAAGCTGTTTTGTGGTTGATTTGGAATCGCTTAGAAAACAGTTTCTTCATTTCTGCCAGGTCCTGTCTCACTTCTATGGCCTAAGACCCTTAGGGGGACATGAGATTAAAAACTGTACTGAAGGAAAAGCCCTTTTTCTGGAATGGATCTGAACGTCTTGAAATTTATGAAGTCTCAAAAGACAAAGAGACCGGCGTTAGAAACACGAGCTCTGGTGGGAAGCACTTCTTGCAAGTTAGGCACGAAAGGGTCCAGGAATTCTCCAGAGCACTCTCATCAAGAGCAGCAGTTCTGGCCACCGGCCCTATTTTGTACTTGGACGAGTTTTGTTCACCAAACGTGATTTTCCCAGGACACACAGACATAGCTTGCCTCTGAATACATAGATCGATGTTTTGCACATATGTTTTACGTAGGGACACACAGACACATATTTGCACACGGACACGTGCTTGCACAGGACCCCATATTTATTCAGGGACGCGCGTTACGCACACAGACGTACGCTCTCCAAGAATACACGGTCACGCGCGGCGGCGGCCGAGTGGGGATTCAAAGCCGCGCCCCGGGCAATGAGCCAGGACCGCAGAAACTACAACTCCCGGCAAGCGGCCACCTCCGGACAGACACATATTTGCACACGGACACGTGCTTGCACAGGACCCCATATTTATTCAGGGACGCGCGTTACGCACACAGACGTACGCTCTCCAAGAATACACGGTCACGCGCGGCGGCGGCCGAGTGGGGATTCAAAGCCGCGCCCCGGGCAATGAGCCAGGACCGCAGAAACTACAACTCCCGGCAAGCGGCCACCTCCGGGGCTACCGCGGGCCGCGGACAGCTGCTTCCTGGGTGACGTGGGTAGGTGCTGGGCAGGCAGCGGGTAACAGGGAGTCGCTTCCGGGGACGGCAGAAGCGCGTGGGACAGCTTCGATGCCGCGGTGGGGGACGCGCCCTGCTTCGGGCTGGGGGTCTAGGCGTTTAGGTGGCGGCGCGGTGGAGGAGCAGAGGCCTGTAACTTCGCACGTCTCAGACCCGCTCTCGCCCGGCCAGCCCCTGACACCTGACTCGCGCGCAGCAGGGCCCGGCCTGGGGGTTCACAGCCGAAGCCCGATCTCGGCCAGAGACCGCAGGGACCGGTAGGCTGGGCAGCGCCCGCGCGAGCCCGCCGAGCGAGCGAGGTGTCTTGCGCATCCTCCGGACACACTAAGTGTCCACCGCAGCATGAGGACACCCACGGGACACCGTGGCGCAGGCGGTGAGAAAGTGGATCTCAGTTTCACAAACAAAGCTTTCTTTACCTTTTGGGTAGCCCAACAACAGCAACAACAAAACGATTCTAAAGCAAAAGGACATTCTTCAGGGAAAGAAACGTTTCTGCCTGTGAAGAAATAATGTATAGCAAATGAAATAAATGGTGATAGAGCTTTGAACCTTGGCGAGAAAGAAAAAACTTGAAGTGCGTTTACAACGGTAACACTAACAAAAACAAAAGGAAAACATTTTAAGTGGTAAATTTAGCTAGGAGGAGGAGATTGTACTCATAGCCAGGCAGAAATATTTTAATTGATCTTGCAAAACAACCTCCTTCAAAATGATCGAAGGCTTGAGCAAGCATCTGCTCACTTGGCCTTCCGCTCCAGGCTGACAAAGACTTTGACCTGACCCTGCCGGTGATCTCTGTCCAATGGGCTCCATTGAATATTCAAGGAACAGCTGATCACTGAAGCCTGTTTAAACACACATTTTATTTTGTTCGGATACAGGGGTCAGAATAGTGTGGCGTCACTTCTGAGCATGTTTTCTGCATAGCTTGTTAAGGGATGTGACTATAGAAGAAGAGCACTTGTAATCAATGTGTGAGCAATTTCTGGGGCTCCTGGGTGATTTTGAACTTTTCCCTTTTTATTGAATGTATTTCTCCAAAAATAAGTTCTGCTGACATTTCATTTCCAATCCTAGTGAATAAGCTGAACGTGTTGAATGCAAAAATAATACTGCTATCCCAGCAAAAGTGGAGCTGTAGGAGCTTTAACCCAGTTTGACATTCTGAAAACCCTTTGGTCATAAGCGTCCTGGGGTTGGTAAAGGCAAGGGCAAGAGTCAGGATTATTGGGTGACTACAGAGGAGAGGGGAGGAAAGGTTGGAGGTTAAGGGATCTAATTCTGGCCACGCATTTTCAGTGAGATCTGCCATGGAAGGAAGCTTCCATCGTCCATTAAGGAGCCTCTTTCTTTCCTTTCTCTTGGCGGCCTTGCATTTCCTCGGCAATGCACTTTCACTTCTTTCCTCTCTTTCACGTTCGTTCTTCTTTTTGTGATTCATGAATGTTTGCCTGTTTTGCCCCTCTGAGAAGGCTGTCTGTGGGGCTGCTGTTCATGACTGTTGGGAGGGTTCATTACTACTCAAGACGGTGCAGTGTGGAGAAGCGTAGGTGTGGAACTGCAGGAAGCAATGGTGAGTTACAGGTGCGTTCACAGAGGTGCGCTAGGCCCACATCGTATACACTCTTTTTTTATTTTGGTACCGGGGATCGAACTCAGGACCTTGCGCTTGTGAGGCCCGCGAAGGCACCACTGGACTGCATCCCCAGCCCTCACATACACTCTTTGATGCCCTGCCAAGCATTTTGGACTCCACTCACCAAGCAGTGGGGATCGCTCACGTGTTTTAATAGGATTACAATTGGGATTGTGCATTGTGGCTCAGGTGTTCTCAAGGGTCCTTGGGGTCTTATGTGTGCTCATTTTTCCTAGATAGAAGTGTCAGGGTCCTAGCACGGCTCTGTTTCTTCCTAGGTTTCTGGGTGGAGCGCACTCCCGTGCATGAGGCTGCCCAGAGAGGTGAGAGCTTGCAGCTGCAGCAGTTGATCGAGAGCGGTGCGTGTGTTAACCAGGTCACGGTGGACTCCATCACACCACTGCATGCAGCTAGCCTGCAGGGCCAGGCGCGGTGTGTGCAACTGCTTCTGGCAGCCGGGGCCCAGGTAAGTGGCCCTGCTGCGCAGACCCCTCCCAGTCTGGATACCGCGGCGGGAAAGGACGAGGCCGACTGGGGAGCACTCTAGAGGGAAGAAAAGGAATGGCTTGGGATTCATCTGTGATGTGCAAATGCAGGGACAGATGAACACCTTGAGGAGAGCGCAGAGAAAAGGCGGGAGGAGGACTGCAGCAGGATGCAGCGCTGGAACGTGGAGTGAAGGGTGGCTACATGTCCGCTGCACATGGAAGACCAAAAAGCATTCGCAGATTGGGCAGGGTTTTTGTTTTCAAGATTAGGGTCTTGCTGCATCCAGGCTGGCCTCAAACTCACAGTAGTCCTCCTGCCTCAGCCTCCTGAGTGCTGGAATTGCAGGCTTGCACCTCCATGTCCTGCATATTGGGTGTTTTCAAAAAGCAAAATGCTGGTGTAGGTGCTCATTCTACAGTGGCAAGTTCATGAGCAGCCAGCTGCATCCTAGGTACAGGCTTTCTGGGAGGGCAGCAAGGTTTGAGGTGCACAGCTGCTTCCTGGGCTGAGAGAGCCGCAGGATGACTAGTGGGGTGCTGGCAAATTGATTCTCTGAAAGTGAAAAAAAATGCAGAAGAAAAGAACAAAACCAAACTTCTGCCAGTGTTTTCAACTTTCACAATTCCTGGCTGTTTAGCAGATGGCTCTGGGGAGCTGGCAGGAGCTGACCCCAGACACTGGATGGCTTACGAGGCATGCAGGGCTCTGGCCTCAGAGTTCATAGGATGGGAAAGGAGTGCAGGCAGAGAACCATTTACTCTTTCCAAATTTCAGAGTGTAGCAACCTACAAGCTGATTTAGAGCAGTTGTCTTCCTTCTTTTCTTTTCTTTCTTTTCCTTCCTTCTTTCTTTCTTTCTTTCTCTTTCTTAAATGCTGCCTTTATTGCACACAAATCCTCAGTCCTGTTTCTTTCTTTTTCCTGTATTTTTACCATTGATATATCTTTGCGATGCATACTCATATTCATCTCGGGGAACTGGGACACACACAGATCACATCTAGACCATTTTTACTTCTGTGCCCCGCTCTGCCATCTCCCCACTTCCCAGGGCCCCTTCCCAGCTTCAACAAGGTCTGCATCCTGTTTCCTACAAGCTGTCTTTTCTTTTGCTCTTTAAATTATTTATATTCTGTGTTTCTCATGTAAGGGAAACCATTTGACATTGATCCTTCTGTGTCTGATTTATTGCACTTATCATTATGGTCCCCAGATCCAGCCATTTTCCTACAAATAACTCAAAAATTTTTTATGACTAATGCTGCATTGTGTACACATGCCACATTTTCTTTGTCCACGCATCTGCTGATGGATATAGGGGCTTCTATACTTTAGCTGTTGTGAATTATATTATTATTAACATGGGTAGGGGCTGGGGATTTAGCTCAGCGGTTCGGTGGCCTGCTTTGCAAGCACAAGGACCCTAGTTCGATCCCCGGTACCAAAAAAAAAAACAAAACAAAAAAAACCCAAAAACCATGGGTATACATATATCAGTGTAATGTAATTGATTTAACTCTTCCAGGAAGATACCTAGAAGAAGTATAACTGGGTTTAATGGAATTTCTATTTTTAGCTTTTTTGCTGTATCTCCATACTGATTTCCCAAGTGACTGTACTGGTTTACATTTTCACCAACAGTAACTGTACAGGGATTTCTTTCTCCCACAACCTCACCAGCATTTGTTATTTTTTTTTGAGTTCTTGATGACAGCTGTTCTTACTGGAACAAGATGAGACCTCACTGTTTTTTGGGGTTTTTTTTTTTGGTATCGGGGATTGAACTCGGGTCCTCGCGCTGGCCAGGCAGGCGGTGGAACCACTGAGCTAAATCCCTGGCCCCACCTCACTGTTGTTTTAATTTGCATTTCTTTAATTGCCAAAGATGCTGAACATTTTTCATGTACTTATTGGCCATTTTGTACTTTTTGAGAAGTGTTTATTTCATAGTTTTTTTTAAATGAGGGGTTCTAATTTTTTTTCAGTTCTCAAGATATTAGTCCTCTTTCTAAAGAATAGGTGGAACAATTTTTTCCTGTTTGGTAGGTTATCAGTTTATTCTGCTGGTTGCTTCCTTTGCTATTCAGAAGCTTTTTAATTTGATTCCCATTTGTTGATTCTTTGCGTTATTTCTGTGCAACTAGGGTTCTCTTTGTGAAGACCTTTTCCTATGTCTGTGTCTTCAAGAGTTTTACCTATTTTATTTCTTCCAGCAAATCAGTGTTTTTAAATCTAGATCTTTGCTCCATTTTGATTTAATTTTAGTACATGGTGAGATATGGGTTTATATTTGTTCTTCTGCATGTGGATAGCCAGTTTTCCCAGCAACATTTGTTAAAGAGGTTATCTTTCCTACCGCATATTTTTGGCTCCTGAACTTGAACCAGTTCTAAGTAGAATTTGCCAGTCTGGGGAGCCACCTTTTACCTGCGATTTGGACACCCCACATTTCCTTTAGCTGAGGCTTGAGTTAAGACCCATTTTACACCTTGTCTCTCCCACTTGCAACTTTAGGGCCTCCTTTCCTGTTCTGTGCTTTTTAGTTTGGGGTGGTGGTAGGGGTGGGGCTGAGCTGATCTGCCCTGAGATAAGAACCCCATGTGGGACACCTGTGCCTGGGAGGCTGAGAGGGACCCTGTCCCAGCTGTGTGTCTTTCTCTTTGAACTGGCTTGCCTGGCTGATGCCTTAGTGAAAAAGAGCGAGCTGGTGCTTCTAAGAGATGCCTTTTCCAAGGTGAATCTGTAGGAGGATGAGAAAGCGAGTTGCATGGTGTCTACCTCACCCTCTGACATGTGTTTCTTCTCCCCCAACCCAGGTGGATGCCCGCAACATTGATGGCAGCACCCCTCTCTGCGATGCCTGTGCCTCAGGGAGCATCGAGTGTGTGAAACTCTTGCTCTCTTATGGGGCGAAGGTCAATCCCCCACTGTACACAGCATCCCCACTTCATGAGGCCTGCATGAGTGGTGAGTCGATGTGTTGAAGGCCATCGAAATAATTCAGGTGCAAAGCTCTCAGAGCCTGAAGTAGGATGGTGGCTTGAGAAGGGATCATTCAAAATGTCTAGGGGAAAATCAATAGGACTTGGTAGGACAGAGAGCTACAAGGGCTCAAAAACAAGTCAAGTTGGATCCAGGAGTGATGCCACTGACTGGAAGATGAATCAGGAGTAGGGATCCCTAGGAAGAGGAAAGAAAGGGCTGTGTGGTGGTCACAATATCCGGATGAGCCTGGCCAGCAGGCAGTTGTAGGCGTGGAGCTGGATTTCAGAGCTGGAGGTGGAAACTGAGAGGCTGCCAACAAAGAAGAGGTACTAATGTGATGAGAGAATATTCGAGGAAAAGAGAGCAGCAGGCCCGGAACCTTGATCCAAAGCTGCACTGAAGATGCAGGAAGAGGAGCCAGGAAAAAGGCGGGAAAGGCACAGAGGGGTGACCTGCAGTGAGAGGGCCTGGCCAGGAGGCTGGAGTGGAGTGCCAGCAGCTGTGTGTCATTCCCATGGGCTGGACATCCCTCGGAAGCAGTGAGGGACAGCCTCAGAGAGAGAGTGGTCAAGAGAGTCTTCCCCAGCTGTTCCTACAAGTGTCCCAAACCTTTCGTCCTCACAAAAGGAGGGCAGCTATGCTCTTTTTCTCTGGTTGCCTAGTGGCCAGGAGTGATTCCCATGCCTCAGGGGAAAAGAGAGCCATCTGCTGGCTTCACAAGGTCTGAGTAGGATCCCAAAGTGTTCCTTAGGTTGGGATGTAGGCTGTTTCTCCTTCTGTTCCTTGAGGCCAGACACAGGGCAACCTGTTCCAGCTGCCATTTGTAGTGCATATTACTTCAAATGGATTCTAATCCATCATTCCTGGATGTTTTCATGCCTTTCCATTTATTTTAAGGGAGTTCCGAATGTGTGAGGCTTCTTATAGATGTTGGGGCCAATCTGGAAGCCCACGATTGCCACTTTGGGACCCCTCTGCATGTTGCCTGTGCACGGGAACATCTGGACTGTGTCAAAGTGCTGCTCAATGCAGGTGCGTGGTTGTTTACCTGAGCTGCTGTTTATCTGCATGTATGGTTCCCCTGTGCTGTGTCTGGCAGAGATACACAGACCAGGATTAGAAGTTGGCTGCCTGACGGGCCAGGGGGCCCTTGACATCAGTTTCTATATCTTATAAAACTAGAAAAGCAAAAACTTTTGTAGGGTTATTGGGAAGATTCTTGGTGTCTATAGAGAGCATGTGGTATCTCGCTGCTGCTTAGTAAACACAAGCGACTGTTTTTAGAGGGCATTATTCACAGTACTGGCCTGATCATGTTGCTGTCCGAATCCAAGAGAATCGAAGGTACAATGGGACCAGTCAGCCCCACTTACGAGGATGGAGCATTTGGAGTCCAGCCATTGTCCAGGGGTACGAAAGAGGCTCAGTACAGAAGGCGGAGGATGGTCTGCACGTGTTCAGCGCAGAGGGAGTCTTTTCTTTTGAGTATTCCTGACCCTCCATTGATTGAACCCATGAATATAGCACGGAGGGAGGGTTGACTATAATAAAGAAACCAGGTACAACTACGTGAACAATGACGGTCATTTAGTTGAGCAGATTTAACTTGGTGGTTCGGTGTTACCAAGACTTCCATTCCTTCGGACTTTCAATTGTTTTCTTCAGAGTTAATGATTCTGTAAGATGTTGGTTAAATGGCTGCAGCAGATTTGGGCTTAAAACCCAAACACTTCACTCATTACGGCTCCGGTAGCTTCTCCAGAAGAGGGACACCGCACTGTCCTCCTAGGTAGTGTCTGGCATACACCCCCACCGTTCCATCTGCCCAAACTGGATGCTGTGCCTAAACTTAAACAGGTCCTTTTGGCCCCAGTTTTTCTGACTGGCTCAATCGTGAATTGCTTAAACCAAATACTATGGTCGGGGAGGGAGGCTGAGCCATTCAGGGACCACATCTGGATCCACTCACCCCCCAGCACCCCATTCCATGTTGCCAGGTGGCCACACAGTGGGAAGAATTGGAAAGGAACAGGCAGACAACTGTGATGTTCATCATAGCTTTTAAAACGATTGCCCAGTAGTTTTAAAAGGGAGTTTTCATATAACTGGGATGTTAAAGATGATTAGTCCTTTGGGAGAAATTTCCTTTGTGATAGAGCCAGGCTCCAGCCTGAGGCTTTTTAAGCTGTCGGCTCTATGCATAACCCTCAGTGGCCATTCTAGTCTTCTCAGTAGGTCTCTTTTAGTAGACTTTGTTGGATCAAGTGGATTATCTTTTTTTTTTTGGTACCGGGGCTGGAACTCGGGTCCTTGCGCTTGCAAGGCAGGCCACCGAACCGCGGAGCTACATCCCCGCCCCCCCCTTTTTTTCTTTTCTTAGAAATTGCTTTTTCACCGTGGAACCTTTCACACCTACAGAGAAGTGGAGAGAAGAGACAGCATACATTACCCTCACGTGCTCACAAAGGGTTTTTATAATTAGTGAGTGTGAATTATCGGGGTTGGGGCACAGGCCCCTTGGAAAACCTAGGAGAAGTTGTGTTTCCTCTAGAAGAATATGCCAGCAGGTGCTCTTCAGGGGACCTCCGCGAGGCTCTGGCTCTGCTCGGGAAGCCAAGTTGGGGAGCAGCCACATTATATCCAAGGAGTGGACACAGAGAGCTTTGCTCTCTCCATTCTCCTTGTAGGTGGTAAGGCTGAGTCCAAGAACTAGAGTATGTCTGCTGATGAGGAGGGCCGGCGAGGCTGGAGGTCCAGCTCATTCACTGGAGTAATTTCTTTTTGCTTTTTATTGAGTTTATTGGTACAATCTAGGTATACAACACAGTTACTTTCATTTTTGGGATCCTGTACCTTTACATGATAGGTTTTGATTCTCATTTTTCCCCCTTGTCCCTGCCCTCCCTTCACCCCCTCCTTCCCACCCCATTTACAAACACTTTATTTCCATTTTTTCAATTTCTCATATTTTTTTCCTCTCCCTTGTCACCTTTCCCCCACCCTTCCCACTTTCCATACACCTTTAGCCCTTTACTTCCTATTTCACATTATTAATTATCTCATTAGGATCATGTGTACTATTATGGTTTTTCACACCAGAGAAACTATTCGGTATTTCAGTTAAAGAAATCTCTGTATGAACATTAAAATAAAACTAAAAAGGAAAGTAAAAGAGAACAGGCAATGATGTAAGATTAAAATACTCCTTAATTCTGAAGATGAAAATGGTCCCTGAACATATTTAAATTGCTTCTTGCTCTTGTAATCTTATCTTATTCTTTTTTTCATTATTTAGAGAATAGTTTATTAGTTTCTGTAATCAAACCCACGTAGATATGACCTTACATATTTAATACAGTGTGTTACCCCTGCAAATGGAAAAAAATAAAAATAAAAAAATTAACATTTCTAGACCAATATGGCTGTCAATTTCTGTACAATGCCGATTTAACACAGAAAATTGGGATAACTTTTTCCAAAGTGGACAGCGCAATTAAAGTTTCCAAAAATTCA